AGAATAAATAATCCTTTTTATTATTTATTTTAATTTGAGTAGTAATACTTTTTAGACCTCATTTTATCAGGGTGGCCGAGTAAGGGCGCTTTGACTTAACTACGCTTGGCTGGCCCAGGCGCCTCTGTGGCGCTTCTAACGCCACCTTAGTAAGCGCAGCGAGATTACCGTGGCTCGGTTAGACCACGCTACGGAAGTCTCACCGCCAGAGAAGCTCGACGATCAAGACATAATGGTCAAATTCACAGTCGCAGGCCATCGCTACCTAAGACATCTACAACCTCGACTTCCCACGACATCCAAAACCTAGTCAGGTTGGACCAATCCGAAGAGATGCCTCGCAAGGGGAGTCAAAAGGTTAAGACAGGATGTATTACTTGCAAGTAAGTCCGCGCCGAACCCGCGTAGTATGCGTCTCGTCTCGTACCTCGCATAAGTTGAGCTGATAATGCACGAGAGTCCGCAAAGTCAAGTGCGACGAAACCAAACCAAGCTGTTCTCGGTGTGTGACCGCTGGTCGCATTTGTGACGGCTATGGCTCACGACTCGCTCATCCACCCCAGCTCACTTCCGAAGGAGTGGCTTCCCTGTCTCAGCCACATGTTGTTTTCCCAAGTACAACGGCTAAGGAGGGCCGCGCTTTGCAGTACTTTTGCGAGGTTGTTGGGCCAGCTATGTCTGGTACTTCAGACCCCTACTTTTGGACACACCTTGTCATGCAGCTCGGAGCCAATGAGGCCGCGGTTAAGCACGCTCTTGTCGCGATAAGTGGTCTCTTTGAGCAAGTTGACGAATTGCAGCAAGAGGTCACCGCGGGCCAGCGACTCGTCCACCAGAGACAGGCATTGCACCACTACAATGCAGCAATTCGGGAACTCAAGACCGAGGACTTGAAAGAAAAGCAGATTGTTGTACTTGTGGTCTGCCTTCTATTCATCTGCATTGAGGCCTTACGGTCAGATGTGCAGTCAGCTGTACGCCACGGTCGACACGGGATCGAAATCTTGAAAGCCGCCTTACCTAACAGCTGGTGGATCAAAGATCACCTGCTGCCCATTTTTCGCCGTTTGAGCGTGTCCGCCTTTTACTTCAGCGATAATGACGGCACGTTCCTTGACATGCCCGAATTGTGGGAGCCTGCCCCATGCTCCTTTTCAACAGCGTATGATGCTCAGCACATGTTTGACATCATCATCGCCCGGATATCACACCTAACGCTCGTCATTGCCGAGACGGGACAAAAAACAGATGTGGAGCGAGAGGGGACCAAAACACAACCCCCTTATTCTGACGATCACCGGGCCGAACAAGCTATTGTCAAGGATCTTCTGGAGAAGTGGCTGTATATGTTTGCCCAGCTCATCGCCAAGATACATCATATAGATGCGAGCGGGAAACGCTTGAGTTCCCAAGAGCAGTACCAGAAGAAGAAGATGCAAGTATTCATGCTGACTCGCTACGAGGCCGCTCGAATATGGATCGAGACGGCATTTGACGGAGACACCCCAAAAGCCAGAGACAGGTTCCTTCCTAATTTTCAAAGGGTGCTCAAGCAACTTCAATGGCTCCAGTCTCAGATGCCACCGGATGTTCAGGCTGCCACCGGAAAGCAGTCGCCGCAGTTCATGTTCGAAATGGGATTCACCGCCATCATCTTCTACTTTGTGTCCGCATGTCCTTACCCCGAAATTAGGCTCGAATTCCTAAGATTTATGCAGCTTTTTGGACTTCCGAGAGAGAACCTCTGGGATCGAGACGTTCTGATGGCCGCAGGAAGAAAGATTATCGAAGATGAGAATGGTATCAAGTTGGAAGACTGTGAGCGGTCGCTAACGTTGCCCTCGAGTCCCGGCCTTCTCATTGATCTTGCGACGCCAGGGTCATCGACATCTACACATCCAACCATACATCTATCAGATTTCTCCTTACCACCAGCGGATTTTGGCGATCTCGTTGACGATTCTTCCACGTTTGTCTTTAACAAGACATTGAAATCACATCCCTGGTGCTCTATGCCGTGGAGCATTCAGATAGGCCCACGAGAAACTTCGAAAATGAATCAATAAACACAAGTGTAATGCGGTTGGATACATAGAGATTCCTTGTCTATCTTACCTATAACATTGTTGCATGGTGAACCTTATGCGGTGACTCCCAAGTTCATCCCAAGATTAAAACTGACGAAATCATAGCCTCTATCTCGAGCTTACCACCGCGTATTAGGTAGACCATCGGATGCTGAATGGCGTCAGTACATTGCCAATTATGGTAGTACCGAATCACGTATCATTTCCTATTTCTACATTGATACCGACTTGAACTTTTATTTCAAAGAAATACGTATATGTTAGTATACACTATCAAAGCGGAACCATATATAGAGATATACTTATACAGGGTGAGCTTTTTACGCGCGTAGTGCATAAAATCAACCAGAACCATGAGGAAAACACTATGCCAACACTAAAATGCCAACTTCGCGTCCGCTTTTAGGTATTTATGGACAATTGGGCAAAACATCGGGAATATTCTACGCCATCAGACTTTGGGCTTCATTGCCATCGGAAATGATTAATTCCGTGGCTCAGTCTTTTACTACGTTGCCGCTACTGCTCGTCAACCAAAGGGATTAGTATCAAGCAGCTCCTTCCATAGTCAGTTCGGGTTATGAAACACGGCCACCTACCTTGAAGATAGGAACATGGCCGGAAGTAAGTCTTCACTGCTCGACATGCTACATCATCGCATAATTGCTTTATTTGCCAAGCTCCCTAGAGCAAGCTAAAGTGTTAGTCGGCCCAAGAATGTACATTTAGGAAGTAGAGATTCTACATCTTTCACATATGTGATAAAAGGTTTTGCTGTTGGTCATTTTGAGAAAACATCTCCTTTGCGAGGTGTACCTTAGGTAGCATATCATAGGTAGACGTCCAGACGCAAAGGCCTTATGTTTCTTCCTTTCTGCCTCATGAAAAGAGTAAAATTGTGGGTCTATAACTCGACATCTGGCCGAGCAAGCAAGTTGGTACCGGTGATAGGCTGTAGGCCTCGTCACACATCTGACTTGTCCCGATGGCTCAGTAACACACATGAGAACCGTATGCCGACCGTGCGCTTATTCAATTCGGACAGCCACTCTCCATTTCCTTCAGTCGCTTGTACTGACATCTCGTTAGTGCCTTATCATGTGGTAATTCCTTTGGGAAGACGCCTAGTGATGATAATGTGCTGGAAGGCTTCGCAGCTCTAAGAGGATACGCATAATCAACTCTCGCCCAGATAGCAAACGTGCGGCCTCATTTGGCCCCTCGCAGTCTTCACTATCTCAAAGGGAGAGATGTCTTGATGTGTTAGATTATTTTATGAGTCATTTTCATTTGGGCCACACCACATCTTTCGAGATAGTCTAATTATTGTGGGTGGTACCCTACTGGAACGAAACACAGATACGCACGTTCTTTCCACCCAGACACAGGGTCACAGAGTACGCAGAGATAGTGAGGGCGTATATTCCACCGGTACTGCAGTGACTTTCGGATCCACATGAGCGGCATCCGAGTCGTGAACTTCAGTAAAGCCTTATATTGCTTGTAACAGGGCTATTCCTACATCGCTGTTGTCGAGAGAGTTCCCTCAAAGGAACACCGCATATCTGATTGGTGGAAGAACAAAACTTCCCCCATCAGTTATTGCGTTTTTTAGGAAGTTCCGAGCCAACGCTTTCAATACAAAACGGCCTAGACACTCCCCTATTTTCTGATAAGGAAATGAACATATCTGTATTCGTCCCCTGGTTGAAGCGGAACATTTGTAAATCTGAGTCAGGAAGTTCTTGCCGGTGATCCATACCTTTCGTCCTAGGCAGCAACCTTCACCAGATCTGACTAAAGGTCGGTCGGAAACAATGCTGTCAGACGGGGAAATTCATGATCGGCAGCTGGTCATGTGTTCGTTGAGGGGCAAACCTACCCTCGCCGGTTCCTAGTGTCAACTCCACAGTCCTCGTTCCGTCGGACGGCGCTCAAAAATCCCATCTCCTGGGAGAGACCGGAGTACAATGTGAATCTCAGAAGACGCGCTCCTCGTACATATGATCACTCTATCCGTGGCAGGGCAAATGTTTCCTACCCAAACAAACGGCTCCTTGACTCGTACTTGGTGTGACTCCCTGAACCCTGCAATCTACATCGGCGGGCGAATGAGCAGCAAAGAGCAAAGCTCTTGCTTGAACGAACTTGCCATAGTACTCAGAAGTCATAGCTCATATTGGTAATTCAGACGCCGTAAAGGATTGGTTACTCCGAGCACGTGGGCAATATAACCCTGTCAAGGAGGACGGACCTCAGCTTGTTTGCGCACAAGCCTTGCACCCCGCAATGCTGGATCTGACCAAATTTGGCAGCAAAGCTTGGCATGCAAGGCCATCACAGCGGCTCTGAGGTTAAGTGGTGTTTTTTCCTAAGTAGTACGTAAGCTACATGAGAATTTGAGTCAAAAGCTTGGCTTCTGAAATCACCCATGCTTACTCCTATCACTCTGAAGAACCAGCGTTTACATATATCACATACACACATTACCAAGGTACAGCTTTCGCAGCCGGTGTGACCTTAGGAGAGGAAGACGGTGTCGTTTACATAGGGAATAGGCCTCTATGCCTTAACAATACATCGTGCCTTCTGAGCCGCAAGTTTCAGTTTTACCTCTTTTTTTTCACCTTTTTGCCCACCACTTTAAACTCCCGATGACGCCAAGTAAAAGTTGGTCTGTGCGTTGGTACGAACCTTAATACGCCAATCATTACGAAGCAAGCAAGAATCAAGGTCACAGGTCTAGTGTAGACAGAGGTTCATTCATTATTGCAGTCACGGTTTCGTAGTCGTAGTTTACTATGCTGGTTTTAGACTAATTACCCTCAAGCAAGAGCACATTCTGGCGGCTAGAGCAGAATTCAAGTACAGCATCATGGCTGCGCTGTCGAACCAATCGCCTCTGCCACATTTTTAGTTCGCCTCGGCTCCCTGGCTACCGCACTTCTTCTCGCAGTAGTAGGTTATCTAAGAAAGCCCGATGGTCAGATTTAATGACACAATTCCAAAAGTTACATGACATCCCTCGTCTCCGCCGATATGCCAGGCATTGGAAAGGCACTGAAGACCATCGAAGTGACAGTCGGGGCATTTGTCCCATTGGTTGTTGCCGGTGCTGCGATTTTTATAGTAATTGCAGGCACACTGAGTTCCCGCAGTGTCGATCTCGTATTCCGTCCATGAGCCGTAAGTGATGCCGTAGGGAGTCCCATTCCCGGTGCTGCCACGCTGCCTGTTCTTAACGCAGACAGCTGCGTTGTGCATCTTTGTAAAATCGCTGAAGTCGAGTTAGCGATGGGGCATGAATGATTAATCGCCTAACGGCTGTGTGTACATAAACCGTGGCAAAAACGGCAAAAGTCGCAAACGTGGAGATTTGCATCTTGACGTTTGCAAAAGATATTGAAGTAAGATAATAGTGAGTAATGGACTAGGGGAACACTCGTTTAACCACAAGTGAAGAATTTGATGAAGAGATTTGCTCTGAGAGTGATTTGATCTCTTTCCAGCACAACAGCAAAATCACAGGTTGAAGTATCCCTGCGGTCTGTTATCCTAGGATGAGGGAGAGTGAATGATGGTGGCTCTCCAAAGATCATGAGGTTGGAATATCGTATATCATGGTCAAATGCCCTTTCCGCCTCAGGGAGTTTATAATCTATCAGATACTGTCTAGTGAAAGTATTACTCGCTCATCCAGCCGTTGAACTCCACGAATTTGGTCCCCAAGACGAATCGATGTGTAGATGGTTGCTTGATCTATCAGAAAGAAGCTTAGTGGTTGCGGTTTCCTTCTCGTGACGGCTGCTGAGTCGTGTTGTACTGGAAATTGCTAAACTCGATTAAGCAGGTAATTCACCTGTGTATGAGAACAGCACTCCAGCGGTAATTACACGAGACATCACGTCTTGACGCCACATGGGTAGGTAAAACTCCACCTGGCCGTTAGGGCACTTAGCAACCATATGTTGGACTAGGCCTGCAGGGACCATGCCTGACTAGTGACAGACGTTCGGATGAGCACAACCGCGCTCCCGTGGATTCAACGATCATGATGAGAATGCTGCCAGTAGTTCACCAGTCGATCAGAGAGTATTGCATGAGTCGGTAAGAAGAAGAATACATACCATTCCAAGAATATATATAAAGCCTCGGAATAATCCCACAAAGAGTCATTTGCTATTTCCAACTCTCCTCATGTCCTCATCTACTCGCGTGAAATACTTCTCCGTCGTTTCCCTCAAGATGGTTTCTATATGGATTGCCTTCCTCTCTGCATTTGCTGCCGCAGTCAGCGCTGCGCCAACCGCCATTGCTGACAACAATTATGGTGCCCTTAACATCACCGATACCCTAGATCGCAATCTTCGCAACGGAGAAATTGTCGTTTTTGGAACGAGTTTTCGAAGTACGCAACTCAATCCGAATCGTTGATTTACCATGCTGACTTTTCAATTTGTTTTGAGGCTGCCATCATCATCCAGAACACTTGGGAACTCCTGTTGAAGGTCGAGGGTCTTGAGGCCGAGACTCCAGACATTGATCATGATTTCCTTAGGTCTGGTGATGAGTTCTCGGAGATATCCGTGAACCACACCGGTCTCGCCCTTGAAAAACGTGACTGCAACAGCAACTATCAGGCCGTAGTTGATCGCACTCAGCGCTTTGTTGACTGGGATGTCCAAATGTCCCCTGTTGTCATCGGTGCTGGCAGTAAGGGTATTGACATTACCATTCCCAAGTCATACTCCATTGCGAACAGTGTCCAGGTTTCTGCTGGCATTGATCTGGGTCTCATCAAGGACCGACTCAAGACTAGCTTTGGGATCAACTACTCGCGTACTTGGACGACGGGCCGGGGCTACCTCATTCGAGGCACCGTTGATGATGGTTACACTGGTGTCGTTATCACTCGCCCCTGGACCAACCGCAAATACGGCCGCACCTTCCAGGGTTGCATTGGAAGCCTCCGACAGACTGGAACTTTTATGGCTGACAGCCACGAGGTGCGCGAATCCTTGCGTTGTAATAGTATTGACCGAGGCTAATTACTCTATCGCAGAATGGCTCCTGCGAGGGCGTTACTTGGGTCGGTGGTGCCATTACTGCCTGCATCAAGAGGCAGAGCTCTATCCCATTGTCCCGGTGTAATGGTAGCGGCAACTTCCGATAATCATTTTGGTGCTGTCTTTCGGAAGAGTTACGTTCACTGAACTGGTCTGTGTCGCAGTCACTCAACCTAATGACGTCCTCCACTGTGGTCTGCGTCATGGTGCCTCAAAAAACATACTGGGAGGGATTGATAGATCGTGTCCAATGTACATACACGAAAAGTTCGGGCTGGGCCTTTCGACTTTCATTTGAATGTAACAAACACTGAATTCTGTTGGCTGTTAGTAGATAGCTACTATAATTAGTGCCAACATTGTTTGGCTGGAATGCTTCTATAAACGCACCTACCCTTTGACTAAATGACCTACTTATGATCGGGGGCTTTTAAGAGCCCGTTGTCGGAGTCAACATGGCGTAAGCAGCATTGAATTTTGCAGGGGGCTTCTATACGGCTTGCGCCATCGCGATAAGTGGCTACTCGCAACTTCCCTAACTAATCTGCGTAAGTAAGCCTGGGGTACGTTTATCTGGGAGAAAATCTTGCTCTACATACTCTCGTATCTAACATAGGCAGACTATCGGACGTCTAGTATCTAGGCACTCTCGATGCGTTCATGATACCGGCCTCCTCGAGACGCAGACAAATAACATCGCCCCGGTCTTATCTGAAGCCATTCATTTCATCAAGACGCAAGTCTTAGATGAAAGATCGCGGCATCGTGACATTGTCAGCTGAGGGCGGAGCAAGGTCGAGCAGTCTCTGGTCTTACTACGTAGTTCATCGCTGCATCTTTGCGAATGCCATCAGACCCATACTTGAATCGAACCAGCATTACACCGGCAATGCCTTGTGCCGATGTCAACCGCCCAGAGCTTATCGTAGGACCATGATCGGCAAGCAGGCTGGTCTGAGTCCCATTTCATTTTGAGGTCACGTACCAATAGCATCGCCATAGGACGCTAGAGACAGTCCATAGATGGGGAACTATCTTTCCGCGGGAAAGTTCGCCGAATGCCGGGTAAGTTGTGCGGGAAACCTTTAATCAGCACATTATCTAATGGTTTCGTCCGGAAAACTCGCACGCCTCAGGAGCCAAACTACAGGGGCATGTGGAATATTACATTACAAGGTGATGAAAAAGATTGTCGGAACATGGGGCAATCATTTCGGTTTGTTACGGCAAGAGTAAGGGTGATGAATACGAAGAAATTCACACTAGTAATCTTGCGTGTTAGAGGATTCTGTCTGGCGAATTCTTCAGAAGATGCTATATATTGGTCATAGAATTGCAACAGTCAAGCTTTCAGGGTTTCAATCTCATTGGGCTTTCTTTGAGTGGCCCCAAACTTTCCTGTCTCGTTTCGTTATTCATCCTATCACATCTCAACATGGCTAAAACCAGTCCTGTATTTGTCACGGCTGGCTCGGGAAACAACGAGCCGAAAGACAAGTCAACCCACCAAAGCCTTAGGCCTTCTCGATCCATCATATTTGATACGTCCGACGAAGAAACCGACACCAAGAAATTGGCAAGAGATCACCTCTGCGTTGGGTATGAGAACAAGTTTGATGGACCGCCCCCCGACGGCGGCGTCAAGGCCTGGACACAGGCTCTCATGGCCCATTTTGTTGTTTTCAATACTTGGGGAACAATCAACTCTTTCGGCATTTTTCAAACATTCTATCGAGATTATCTTTCTCGGTCGGCTTCTGAAATTAGCTGGATTGGTTCCATGCAAGTCTTTTTTCTTTTCGTCGTTGGTGTATTTACCGGGCGTCTCACCGATGCTGGATATTTTCGAGCAGTCTTTGCCTCAGGATCTACGCTGGTGGTACTGGGAAGCCTGACCGCATCGTTCTCGAATCAGTATTGGCAACTATTCTTATCCCAAGGGCTTTGCGTGGGACTTGGCATGGGAGGTTTGTTTTGCCCTGTTATAGCTGTGTTGTCGACATACTTCAGCAGGCGCAGAAACCTCGCTATCGGAGTTGCTATCAGTGGCTCAGCTACTGGAGGGATGATTTATCCCATTATTGCACGCCAGCTTTTACCCATGATTGGATTCAGTTGGACAATGCGTGTCATGGCACTGATCCAACTCATCACTCTCTTGATTGCCAACTTCTCGATGCGATCCAGAATACGACCGAGGCGGTCCGGTTCGGTGATTGAGTTTTCCGCTTTTACGGAGAAAGCCTATCTTCTCTTTACGATTGGCATGTTTTTTGTAAGTTGATCCTAATTTGATCTTCGTGCATCACTAATATCTTTAGAACTTCTGGGGCGTCTATTTTGCGTTTTATTAGTATGTTAGACAGCTGAAGCTGCTTCATCTCCTGTACCTCACTGAAGCTAACAGACTATATAGCATTGGTCCATTTAGTCGCGACAGGCTTTCATTTTCGTATGACAGTTCGATCAACATTCTTATGGTTATGAATGGGGTCGGCGCGATCGGTCGTGTGATTCCTGGCTTACTTGCAGACCTCTATTTGGGGCCATTAAATGTTGTGATTCCGGCCGCGGCTATTTGTACAACTCTTTTGTTCTGTTGGATAGCAATCCAGAGTTCCACTGCCTTGTATACTTGGGCTGTGTTTTATGGTAAGTCACCCATTCCTTTCTGTGTCCACTCTTTGAGGATTCCAGACAAACAATTCCCGCTTTGACAAAACTAACCATTCTTTTTACACCTCCAGGTATCTTTGGGGCTACAGTTCAGGGTCTCTTCCCAGCAGCATTGTCATCATTGACAACCGATCTTCAAAAAGCAGGCACAAGGATGGGAATGGTCTACACAATTGTTAGTTTCGCAAACTTAACCGGCCCTCCACTGGCCGGACTTCTAATCAAGGCCGGTGAGGGTCGGTATATTTATGCGTTTATATTTGGAGGGCTATGTCTGGCTCTAGGTACATCATTCTTAGTCGCCTCTCGTATTGCTAAAGGAGGCTGGGGGTTAGCAAAAGTCTAAGTAATTAAAACCGTAGTACATTTTAAACAGGGCATGTTATTTTTTTATCTTTTGAGAATTTTTAAAATATATGAATCTTAAAGAGCGTTAATTAAATACGGGTAGTTTTAACTTATTATTATTCAACTTACTATTTATTTTAGTTTTCATAATATTTACTAAAACAAGACTTTATAACTCTATTATTTATTTATAATTTTTACTATTACTAATTATTTAAGTAGTTCTTTATATTATTTGTATAATATAATATATAATGTTATTAAATACTCTTTCTATTTTAATAAACAATTTTTTTTGATTTGTTTTAATTTTTTTAATTTTTTTAATAAAGTTTATTGATTTTTTTATTTTATTTCTATTAGTTACTTGGGAGATTTTTAATTATTATAAAGTTTATAATTAATTATAAATTAATTTTATCCCCTTAATAAAGTAATTTATTAGGGCCGTATTATATATTATATATTAAAAAAAACTAAATATATTACGCTCTATTAGTAAAAGAGTAGTAAATATTAACTTATTTAGCCCTTTTTTAAAAAAAACCTCTATATCGCTATTAAAGTTTAGAACTTCTATAGTTAAGGAAGGCCGCTTTAAATTATTATAACTAACTATTATAACTACTTATTTTAAATTAAGTAGTAGTTTTTATATTAAAATTATTATATTATATTAAGTATATATTTAAAATATATTATATATATTATATAATTTAAAAAAAAAAACTATATTATATAATTTCTTTTAAAAACGTAATCTTATTAAGGTCGATTTTTTATACTTATAAAGCTAAGAAAAAAAAACTATTATATATAATATTAATAAATACTCTTACTATCTCGAGAGACTAATCTCTTATTACGGCTAGCTAGTCGTAGTAAGTATATTAATAGAAGTTAAGGCTACGAGTACTAAGTAAATAGTATCGTAGTTATAAATAGCTTTTTTAAAGCTATATTTATAAATTATAAAATAAGTAAAGCTTTAGTAATTAATTATAGTTTTATTAAAAAGGGTTCTTAATAAAGATAGCTAAAAGCGATCGTAAGATCTAATATTAAGTTAATTACTAAAGAAGCTATAAGAAGTCTATCCTTAAGCCTAGCTTAAGTCTATATTATATATAAGTCTTATTCCTAAATATATCCTTTATAATATTCTTATTTACTATTATTTAACTATTTACTAGACGGTCGTCCGTCCTATTTATTTATAATTATCTGTCCTATTTATCTACGGACGTCCGTTTTTTATTTTATTATATAATCGTAGTTACGTAACTTATTTATAGTTCTTCTATCCTGAGAGGAGTTACCCTAAGTTCGTATTTTTATATATATAGTATAGTAGCTACCGTAGGTCCCGTGGGGCGGGGCCCTAGCTTTATTATACGTATTAAGTTATAATATTAACTTCTCTTTTTAAAAGTCTAGTCCTTTAAGCTTATAAGTAAGTCGTTTATTCCTAAGTTAGAGAATTATTAAGTATTTCTTTAAAATATGCTAATACGATATTAAGTCGAATTAAAAAATCGAAATCTTTAATAGCTATGTTTTATTATAAATTATTATATATTATTCGTTTTTCTAATAAGGGTATAAAAATAATACTTTATTTAAATTATTACTCGCGGGGGGTCCGTTATTTAGTTCTTTTTAATTTTAAAGTTTATAAAATATATTATTATTTAGGTATTTTATACGATACTTCTATTAATACTATTTATATTTATAAGTATTATATTTTTATTTATTAAGTTTTAGCTAATTAAGTATAGTTAGTTAGTTAGTAACGGAATTTAATCGTTTTAATTACGAGGAAGAAGTAAAAGAATTACGGTTTTAGGAGAGAGCTACGGAGTTATAAAAAAAGGCTAAGGCTTATTAATAAGCTTAGGCTAAGTTAAATAAGTCGTTATCTAAGTTAGAGCATTTTCGTTTTTAGAAGCGAATAGTATTTAAAAAGAATCGGATTATATTAGAGGAGTTCTCTAAGGATTTTAAAAATACTTCTTTAGTAGCTCGTAAAGTATAGGCTAATAGTACTTTTAGGATTATTAACTAAGATACTATAATAGTTAGGAGTTCTAAGTTTAATTTTAATTTTAGTACTCCTTAAGAAGTTATTAGGAGTTCCGGAGGTTCGTAATAAGTTCCTATATATTCTTTTTATATTTATAGTTTTTTTATTTAATAAGGTATTCCTTCTTATTATTTTTTATTTTATAGTTAATAATTCGTTTAATTTTATATTCTAGTTAGTTTAGTTTAATAATAATATAATTTTTTATATATAAACCTCTTAGTATAGGCTCGAGTAATAAGATATAGAAGACGGGATAGTATTATATCGTATCTAGTAGTCTTAATTCGTAGTTAATTAGTAAGACTTTTTTAATAATTTCGAAAGGTCTAAGTTTTTTATAGTTTAATTTATTACTTAGTTATTTTATTTTAATATTATAATAAAAGAGATAAGTACTATCCCCCTTTTCTAAGGATAATCCTTTAATTTTTAATTTATTTATATTCTTTTTTATATACTATCGTACGAACTCGAGGTCTAATAAGGCTTATTTATAAATCTCTTTAAGTTTACTTATATTTATTATAGCTTTTATAGCTTATAGTTTTTATTATACTTCTCTATATACAGTTAGCTAGAATTTATAATTAAAATAAAATAGGGATTTTTTTATACTTTTACTAACTATATTATTATATACGAACTAGGCTATTAGTAGGAGTACTACTTAATTATCCTAGTCGTAGTTTATATAATAACAAAAGTATATCTTAAGGATCTAGTTAATCTTTTCTATTTATTTATCGGTTTATAAATAAAATAATATCGATAGTTTATAGTCTATACTAAGTTACGAAATTAGAGATTTCTAAAATTTTAAAATAAATAGCTTATTTTTATTAGAGATAATTTTTTTTAGTAAACCGTAGTTCGAAAGTATAACCTTAGTAAATATATATACTAGGTCTTTTATAGTACTTAATTCTTTATAGGGAATAAAATATACGAATTTAGTAAGTCGATCGACTATAACTAAGATATTATCGTACTATACTTTAATAAATAGTTCCTTAGACTTTAGTAGTTTAATAATAAAGTCCTATATAATTAAATACTATGCTTTTATTAGTAGTTATAACAGTTATAGCTCGTTATAGGGTTTATATAGGCTATTTTTACTTTTTTTATAGATCGCGTAGTCTTTAATTATTTCTATAATTTTAATACGTATAGCGAATTTGTTATAATATTAGTAAATTTATTTTTATATTTTAGTAATTCCTTAGTAACCGTGTGCCGGTATATTATAAATTTTTATAATAAGCTTAGGAGTTATTTTTTTAGTCGGGCTAGTATTAATTTTTTTAGTTATTATAAGAAGCTTTATAATTAGTATAAGGTTACTATCTTTCTTTTACTTAAGAATAACTTATGTTTTTTTAGGGACCGTAACTTCGTAATTAGGTCTTTTATTAAGAGCGTTTACTCTACTATTTTTTAAACTTTTTTAATAGATAATTCGGAAGTTATATTTAAATAGGAATTCGCTCTATTTAATTTATCGTTTATTTAGATTCTTATTTATTATAAAGTTTATAAAGTTTTTATAGTCTATATAAACTATAATTTTATACTTAATTTTAGATAACTATAGTCTCTATTCTTAAAATACTTTAATAATAGTTATTAGTTCCTTATCGTAAATTTACTAATTTAATTCTATTTTATAAAATACTTTAGAGTAAAAGTAATATAAATAAAGCTTTTTTTATTCGTCCCGTTGTCCTAGGACCGTTCTTATAGCGAAGTTTAAAGTATTAGTCTCGATTTTAAAAGGTTTTTAGGGGTCCGGGATTATAATAACTAGTTTAGAAACGACTATATTTTTAACTTTAACGAATACTTCTTTATACTTAGGGTCCTAGATAAATGGGGTATTTTTTTATATTAGGTTATTAAGAGGTCTAATTATACTAATATAGTCCTTAAGGAATTGTTAGTAAAAGTTAACGAATTTTAAAAATCCTTATACGTCCTTAACGTTTTATAGTATAGGCTAGTCCTTTACTATTTTTATTTTTAATACTTATATATAGATTTATCTTAGTATAATAATGTATTTAAGGAAGTCTATTTTTTATACGTAGAACTTATACTTAGAGGGTTTAGTATATAGTTTAGTATCTTAGAGCTTCTAAAATACTATGTAAATATGCTTCTTATATATTTTAAGGTTAGGGGAGAAGATAAGGATATTATTAATATAAATAATAATAAAGATATTAACGTACTCCCGGAGTA